GGGCTTAATTGCTTTGATCCCCGAGTTCAAGGGCTTATATGCATCAATTACAGTCTAGGGGCTTAATAGCGATTCTGGGGTTGGTTCAGGAGCTTAACTTATGGTTTTGCCTTTTTAAAAGGCATTTTATTTTTTTAGTAAAAATAAAGTCATTAATTAATAACTGAAAAACACAAAAGTTGCAAGCCAACCCACATAATGTAGCGCGTCAAGGGCACTATAAAACTTAACTTTAAAGGTGTGAAACAGTAGGTTAAACATATGATAATAAAACAATCTAATGGTTACATAAATATTATAGTCGAATTTAGTTCTTGATCTGACAATAAAATCATAAATTAACATAATCCACCATGATCAAAAGATAAAATGGTAATTGTTAAAATAATTTGTGCTAAAAGCATTCCAAAGCAACACAATCCCCAATCAACCACCTCTCTTACTATGAACCTTTAGTGGAAAATTAACCTTAAGGGGAGACAAGAACCCTTGCAAAAAAACCTAAAAGAGTAAAACAAAGTCAAGAAAAGATGAGAAAAACAAAGAATCAAAAAGAAAAAAAGAGGAAGAAAAGATGGGAACAAGAGGGAGCAAGTGAGCGACAGATAGGGTTCCACTCCCCAAACAACATTTCTTGATTATCTACTATAACGAAAATTAAACATTATGGTTTAGCTATTTCTAACTGTATGAAAGTTTCTCAATTTTACCTTACTTTTTATAGCTTGACGAACGAATAACATTACCGACCAAAGGCCCTATTACAAGTCTATTTATCAGCCTTTCTCAATTTTTGACAACGATTTCAATACCTAAAAACGGCTTTCAATTTTTGGGATTTATTGGCCCACCCCTACTGAAATCACCCTTTAGCAAACGTTGGGCCGCTTTGGTTCACCAGGAAAAGATCATTAGCTTTCAAGTTTCATCCCCTTCCCCTTAACCATTTCACTTCATGGGTCATATGTTTAGTTGGTAGTAATAGCTATTTCCTTGATCAAACTATAAAAACAGGCTAAATTTAAAAAGCCTTCTTTAAAAAGCTAAGAATAACTAAGTCTTAATATTAATAATTTTCGAGCCATCACATAATTGACATAGGAAGCAAGAAAAGTACCAGAAGATGATAATAGGTGGACTCAACTGAATCAGAACCTGTGTTTTTGTAAGATTTCTGTAATGCAATCCTAGCAATATAGCATCATTGCATGTATTCTGTATGAGATTGAATTCTTGGCCGGAGAACAAGATCAGCATTTTTGCTTCCTTTCCTTCTACTTCATTTGTTATTAAAATGGTGATAGCTAATAAAATGGAGAAAGATAAGAGCATTACTTGGAGATTTTTCCAACCAACTAAATTAAATGAGAACGAGGAGCACAATTTATCTAGCTGATAACATTACAATTTTCCAGCTGCAGCAGAGCTAACTAGCTGGGATTGGGATGAAGGAGAAGAGTGAAAGAAGAGGCAGATTGCTGAAATGTCATCCATTGCAATGCCTCTTTTCTTTTTCCATGCATGCACAGCACACTTTACTAGATGCTTAGCTGCCTTTGCCCTGTCTGGTATTGAAGATACAATTTCAATAGCTTCTTGATTAGAGACGACATCCCAGACCTAATGTACAGAAGCAAAGTGAACACATTTTAGGTATTTCAGATAACAGACCGAGAAAGTAATATTAGTAAATGAAAGTATGCTTACGCCATCAGTTGCCAAAACAACAAATTGGTCTCTGCTTGTTATATGCCTATGTGTCACTTCAGGCACAGAAATAAGTCCGTAATCCTTTATGCAGTAATCCCCAAAGGCTCTAGACATTGCGAGTCCAGGTGATTCTTCATCAGGAAGCCAAACCCTGTGAACCCCAGGCTCATCATCCATACAGTACACCCTTCCTTGACACTGAGTTATCCGCTCAATCTCCCCTGCAAACAGGAGATCAGCCAAAAGTTTTAAGTATTTTAGTTTTTGCTTTCTCATTGAAGGAGGATAAAAGAGACTACGAGACTAACGAGGTAAATTAGGCTTGAAATCAATAGTAAGTTGAACTGGCACCAAGCTTCCATCATCTGAAGTGGTAGCCAATACAGTACGAGAATCACCAACATTTGCCACATATATCAGTTCTCCCTACCAAAACAGAAAGAAGGAATCATTGAAACTAAACATGATGTGTGCAAAAGATCACAGGAAGAATGCAGATGCACAATTTAAGAGACACACAACTTTCCCTAGATAATTACCAAAAGTGAAGAACTCCCTTCTGAAAATTCATTTGAGAAGACATTGATTCTACAAAGTGATATCATGCTAATTCCAATATAAAACCTCCCTCCTTATTTCTTTATATTTGATAAATTCATATTGTGCAGTGAACTACTTTGATTCCTCATTCTTTCAGTAGCCTATCCTGTCCCTGTCCTCATATTCATTTGCGTTCATTGGAAGTAGGTGACATAAAAACTAATGGAAAACAACATTTACAGAGGCTGCATAAACAAACAAAAGAAAATTACATGTAATTTAAAGAACCAGAACCTCCCATTACCTGTCTGACAATTGTCGAGGCAGTTGTTCCGCTAAAGAATGAATCAATCTTACGACAGTGCTGGAGCTCCTGGTCAACAGCAGCACAAGTCATCGTATAGGCATGCTTCCATATATTGAATCCTTGATTCTTTTTATCAGATCCTAAATCAATATCTGGCCCAAGGGATGCTAGAGCCTCTTGCCAGTAGCATAACAAGAAAGAAGGCATTGATTCTCTGACTTTTTTCGCCACATAGTGACCCCATTGTCCATGCCCATCAAATATCCCACAGAAAAGCATGTCTGCTTGACATCCAAATTCCTACTCCAACCAAATCAAAAGCCACATTTTCCATTAAAAACAAACAGTAACAGCAACTATATGAAAACAAAACAACAGTATTGCATTTATGTAATGAATAAGTTCAATGTGAATATGTACCTCCCATACGATAGCACAATCCTGGTTAAATCCTTTTTGACCTCTCTTGGAGAAAACTGAGACAAAGTTGTTAGACCCATCAACATTTACGCAACCAGAAGACCTCAATATCAAGTCATTCTTCTTGGCTTCCTTTGCCATCGCAGCAGCAGCATCTCTTCCATCACTATTCCCAGGGGAATTCTTCTCTCTTCTTATCAAAAATGGCCTCGCCAATCCATTGAACATGGAGGAAAAGTGTCCCATAGCCTAATCCAAAATTCCTCCACACCTTCCACCCTCGATGGGGTATGACTATTTTGCTTTTATAGCTTCAAAATCTGCCCATTGGGAATGAATAAATAATCAGATATAATTCAAGAATGCCAAAGGATGACAAGCAAAGAAAAGGGTATAAAATTTCTAAAGCAAGGAAGCCTTCTTCATTATTCTTTGAAATCAAATTCTTTCTTAAGAAACAGCAGAAGGTTAAGGCAAAGGCAAGTTGAAGTTTTAGTGATGGTGTTAGACAAGAAAAGACGTGTTCTGAGTCAGAAAGGTAAGAATCTAAGACTTTAACAATAATGGTAATAAAAAGGAAAAGGTTGAATCGGGCATTTGCAGAGAATATCCATAATGACATGGATTTCCAATACCATCTCCAGATTCCTGAAGAAAGAACAACAATAAATATTCTTTACCCATTTGCCTTAGCTGGATATTCCATAGTAAGGTCCTAAGGTCTGTTTAGTTGCCAAGAAAAGAAGAGAAAAAAGAGGCAAAATCAAAACTAAAATCATATCAATGTACTACAGATTAGTAAGAGTAAAGAAGAGGAGAGTGGAGGAACTGGAGGTAGTGAGACCCCAACAAATATGTACTGAATTAGACCTGAAAGTTAGCTTAGCTAAGATTTCCATTTACAACAAGGGAAACAAAAGGGTATGGAGCATTAAATTTCCCTAAAAGATCAGAACTTTGTGAATTTTGGCTTCTTTCTCAAATCAGTCAAGACCCCAGAAAACAAAATCACCAAATTGAACTAAAATTGGACTTAAGGGAGCATAGGATTCAAAAATTTACCTCCTTTTTAAGAATTTTCTCAGGAAACAAACAGACCCTAAAAGAAAGTTACAACACTGAACAAAAAAAACAGCTCAATCTGGTTTGACATCTATCACCCACCAGACAAAAACAAAACCCAAAAATCATACTTCTCCAGCTTTCCTCTCATCCCTTCCTTTTTCTTTTTCTTTCCCAGTAACCAATCAGGGATACTTCAACCAAAAATTAGAACAAACAAATAAAAAGCAAGTGTGAGACTGAGACTTCAAAATGAGTACACCGGGAAGCTGACGCAGGCAGCCGGAATCTGACGTGAGGTTCCGGACAAGAGGAGCGGACAAAACCAAGAGAGGAGAACATAGGAATGGACCCCGGAAACAATCCTTGGGTTCTTATTTGTTTGCTTCTGCTACTGCTCCTTACATGACATCCGTGGAGAAGAAAACAAAGACCAAGGCGTGTTTCCAACCTTGTCCATGTATTTCACATGCAACTAAAATAGCTTCTGCTTTTAGCTGTTTTATAAATTAACTTCTTTTTTATATATATTCTTGGAGTTTATAATTTTATTAAAAAATTCTAATTTAGAGTTTTTAATTAAAAATATGCAGATCTTTAAATGCTGAAAAAATTTCTTTCTAACAAAATTCAAAACTTGTGAATAGAAATAACACTACCTACTGCTGGATCAGTCAACATTTACAAAAGTGAACGCGGCGAATTCTGCCTTTCAGATTGAATTATCAAATCTCAAGTGCTTCAATATTTTGTAAACAAGTCTCCCTTTCTTTTATTATTGTTAGAATTGATTAAATGAGTTTAGATATGATTTTAAGTATTTTTTACATTCACCAATAATCTGTTG